ACAAGCCTCGGCTATCCTTTGGCATCCTGCTTAGGCGCTGAACATGAAATTTCTTTTCAATTGTGAGAAGTGTCATATCCAAACCCAGTTCTTGCCACACCTGACATCTGCATCCATAACTTCCCAGCAAACACCACTCAGTGAATTGGCCGATTTCTGTTTTATTTCTGCCTTCCCACACAGGCCATTGGGTTAGTTGTTGGTTCCATCTATTGCAAGATCAACTAACACCAAGATCAAACCATAGTACCTTCCTGATTTGTGGGTTGAGTAGCATATTGAGCAGCATGTTTAACTTAATAAATGAAAACATGTATTTAACATCATGTTAATAACAAAATCAGTGTCATACTTGTAAATTTTATACTATAATATTTCTTGACCCATTTTATATTTCTTTCTTGGCTATTGCTCTATTTATAATATTTATCATTTTCTCATTCCCACATGCTGATCATATCAGGCCACTCATCATGCAGTCAGAAGTCTGGTTGTTTGCTGTTTTGAATAATTGCTAGGCGGCTGAGAGACAACAACCATAAATAATAGCTTTTTTCCTAGCCCTGGCTGTTGAAAATCTCTCCCTATCTCTCTTCCTTTCCCTTCTTGCTGAAAAAATTGCGACACTTGTTTTTCTTGATCATAATGCCAGTTGTTTGTAATGAAACCTACCTTCCTTGTCTTGTATGTTGTGGCATCATAATGAAAAGATTCATGGAATTTTCATCCCTGAAATAATTAAGACTGCTTCAAACTCACAACCACTACCATCTAGAAGGACAAGAGTAGCAAATATATGGAACACTACCACCTGCAAGTTCCCCATTCACCATCTTGACTTGGAAATACATCACTGTTTCTTCAGTGTCATTGGGTCAAAATCCTGAAATTCCCTTTTTAACGGCAATGTTGATGTAGCTACACCAAATGGACTTGAGCAGTTCAGGAGGGACGCTCACCACCACCTTCCCAAATGCAACTCAGTGGATAATAATTGCTGGTCGAGCCAGGGATGCTCACATCCCATGAAAGAATTTTTTAAAATCCCATAGTTTTACTAATATAAATTTATCCTTTCCCTAAACAGACATACTGAATTTGTAAATCTTTACATGCAATGAATTGTCCAATTCATATACTGCATGTCGGATGACATAAATCTATATTGCAAACTCTCAAATGATCTGACCTAAAATATTTCCTGTATCCTCAAAGTGGTCTGTTTTCCCTGAGAGAAATTAAGTTGTGCAATGAAAATTTGAAGGAAGAAATTGAACAGATTTACAAGTAAGTATATAGCTGCAGAAGTGTATAAGCCAGTAGTGACTTGATAAAAACACTTCTGGCCATACTGGACTAGATTTTGAGATTAATGTGCTTTGCCTGGAGGTAACTTCTGTACCTAACATGGCAAGCAGAGAGGTAACACGTTCTATTCCTAATATGAAATGTTTTGACTTGGCTTTGTACCTATTATTTCTCATTTTGAAGTTGATTCCAGACGTGCATTTGTGGAAAAGTGTTGAATGGAGGGATTGCATGCTTTATTACAAACAGAGCAGAAAAGTCTGAGCTACCATGGGCTGCTCTCTTGCACCTCCTGGTGGTCAGTAATAGTGAACTAAACTTAAAGATTATATTGTCAAATTTGTTGACCCATTTTGTTATAAAGGCACACACTATATTGCCATTCCCTCTCTGTCACTGGAACTCTTTACCACACAGCACTGTTGCTGTACTACAGTGGATCACCACTCCCTACACAAGGGCAAATGGGAATGGACAATAAATGCTGACAGCCTATGAAAGGAGATAATAAAGTGTACAGCTGGATGAACACAGCAGGCCAAGCAGCATCAGAGGAGCAGGAAAGCTGACGTTTCGGGCCT